CCTTTCTCTCTGGTGGGCGCATGTACCCTATAGCAAATTTAAAAATAATAATAACAAATAAAAATTAAATAATAATTCTTTTTTAAGAAAATTCTGGGATGGGGACCAGGAGGTGGTTTGGTGCTTAAGGGTGCTGAACTCCCACATGGCTGACTGTGGTTCGAGTCTCAGACCTGGTGGCTTATTTTCTTCCCTCACTCTGTCCTTCTCTGGTCAAATTAAAAAATAAATAAACAAATAAAGTTAAATAAAATAATTATTTTTTAAAAAATGCTCTAGGGGCCAGCAGGTGGCATGGTGGTTGAGGTGCTGGACTCCCGCATAGCCAACTGCAGTTCGAGTCCTGAACCTGGTGACTTGCTTTCTCACTCTCCCTCTCTCTGCCTCTCTCTGGTCAACTTGAATAATAAGTTAGTAAATAAATAAATAAATAAAGTAATTCTTTAAGAAAAAAAGAAGTTCTACCCTGAGGTTAATGAAGTTGAAAGCAAACTCCTCACCCATTTAGCCAGTGGTCTCTAAGTAGAGTTAAGGACAGGAGCTGATCGTGGAGCTCAGGACTAAGAGCGGATGGCTGTATGTGGCAGTTACAGGGAACTGGCCGAGTGATTGGGGCCTGTGTGGTTGGTAGGTGGGTAGCTATCATTTCCTGACAGAGATACCTTTGAGCACCCTCCATAAATGCCTTGGGCATCTGTGTGACATTTCTGCTTTATTACTGAGTTTGCCTTTTCTTTGAACACTAACATTTCATAAGCTTTATAGTAACCCAAGTGATCTTAATTATTCTGTCCCCCATCCATCTCTTCAAACTGTATGGATATCGACCTTTGTACTTTCGGGAAAATCTCTTGACTAGGAAGGACTTCTGGATGAACTACATTGTACTGAGAAATCACCCCTGAAGAAATGCTCTTTGAAAAGACAATAAAAGTACATTGAATACCATTCATTTTTCCCTGATAAAGATACAGCAGGTCCCATAATATAAGAACTACAACAGCCTTGGGGTCAGCAGATGGCATAGTGGTTACATTGCTGGACCCCCACATGGCTGCTCGCAGTTCAAGTCTCGAACCTTCTGGCTTAAAACTGACCCTGGGCATTTTTTTTTTTTTTTGAGAGGTTTTTTTCGCTATAGGGCGCATGCGCTCGCCAGACAGACAGAGACATAGAGACAGAAAGCGAGAAATCGCCCCCCAGGGGGGATGGTCACGCCGCAATCCCTTCTCCTCCATTCTCCTCTCGGGATCTTGGGCACGCACGCACACGCGCCCGGCGTGAGATTTAAGCCACCGGGTCCGAGACACGAACCGGTCGACTACGTGGGAGTCCAGCGACATAGCTATTACGCTAACTGCTGGTTCCCACCCTGGGCATTTGTGCATGTGTGTCCAAGAACTGGGAGAAGAATGGAGGAGAAGGGATTGCGGGTGTAGCCATTCTCCCTCAGGGGTAATTTCTCACTTTCCCTCTCACTGTCTCTGTCTCTCTCTTCCCTGCAAGCACGTATGTCCCAAGGCAAAAAACAAACAAAGGAAACAAGACCCTCTGGGGAGGGGGAAAATAAAGAAATATAGGAGAGAGGAGCTTTTCTTATTTTTAAAAAATTATTTGATAACATTAATTTTAAATAATTTACAAAAATAGAAAACAACATTATTAAAAGTTCTTTTCCTTGATGTTGTTTCAAGGTTCATTCAACACAGGTCAGGACTCCGACGTGGACTGATGGCAAACAAAACATTTGTGTAAAAGTCAAAGAGCCGTTCTTGCTTTTTCTTTTCTTTTCTTTTCTTTTTTTTTTTTTTGAAAGAGGGTTTAATCTGTTCAATTTCTTTTCTTTCTTTCTTTCTTTTTAAAGGAATTATCTCATTTAACTTTATTTATTTATTTTAATTTGACAAGAGAGGGACAGAGAGAA